GCCATCAAGGGCACGAGGCCGCGCGGCGGACCGTCCTCTGCTTCATTGTAGGGCTGCAGCCAGCCGTTCCTCAGCCACGTCTCGAGCTCCTCGTCATACTCCTGCCGCGCTGACGGTGGCACGCGGTACTCGGCGACCCGGTTGGTCAGACAGTCTGGTGCGACTCCGTCCGCCCACTTCCAGGCCACTGTCCAACTGCGTGTATTAACATCGAACCTCGCCGTGAAGTCTTTCGCGTCGGCCACTAGCTCCGCGGTGGGTGCCCCGCCCACTCTGGGCCCGGGCATGGTGTGCCCGGTCGCCGGGCCGGCCGGGTCCTGTGACGCAGTCGCTGCGGCGCTACCAAGCCCCGCCCCCTCTCCGCGCGATGCCGAGGCTGCCCTGGCCGGCTCCACCGCCGCCACCTTGGCGCCGCCTGGACGCGCCACTGTTCCGCCGGTCACTTGGCCTGCCTGAGCGGGGCGATCCGTTGCTCCCTCGCCGCCGCCTGCGCGCGCCGCTACACAGCCGATCGCCTGCGCTGCCCGGGCCGGGCCGGCCGCCGCCGCCTCGCCACCGCCTGGGCGCGCCACTGTCCCGCCGATCACCTGCGCCGCCCGGGCCGGGCCCGCCGCCGCTGCCTCGCCGCCGCCTGGGCGCCCCACTGTCCCGCCGATCACCTGCGCCGCCCGGGCTGGACGCGCCGCCGCCGGCGCCTCGCCTGGCTGCGCCACTGCCCCGCCGTGTCCTTGCGTAGCCGGGGCCGAGCGCACTGCCGCCCCCGCGACACCACCTGGGCGCGCCACAGGCAAGACACTGTCGCCACCGACGCGGCCAACCGTCACGACTCCCACGCCTAGTGCCTGAACAGCGTGACCACCCATTGTCGTGATCAGCAAGCGCTGCCGGTCCCACTGATCACAAATGTCCACGTGAGCGAGGTTATGCGTACAACCCGTGTCGACAAGCACGTCTCGTAGTCCTCCATTCAGCGGCAACCTGATTATGGGCAGCGCTCCTCTTATTGCGCAGGAGACGGCGCTGGCGCTGACGCACCGCTCCCTGTGCCGTTTCCCTGCGGGCAGCCGGCCGCCAGGTGGCCCAGCCGGCCGCACGCCCAGCACCGGCGCGAGCGCGGCCGTCTCGGGACGCGCGCCGCCATCACCGCCTCCGCGTCCTGCGTTCCACCGCGGTTTCCGCCCCCTCCGCGTGGAGGCGCTGCCGTCGCCGCCGCCACCGTTGCCACGCGGTCGTCACTGAGGACGGCGCGCGCTCGCGCGACCACGCTGGGAAGGTCCAACGCCTCGGCGCGCGAGCCGGCGCGAATCACCTGTCTTGCCGCGTCCGGCAGCCCGTTCACGAATGCACAGGACAGAGTCCGGTCCGGCACGCCACCGAACAGTTCAGCCAGCCGCCGCAGGTCCGCCAGGTAGACGTCGGCGGACTCGCCCGGCTGAAGACGACGAGTGACGAAGGCATCGTAAGCCGCGAAGCTGTCCAGGGCGAACGCCGCAAAGAGGGCAGACTTGACGGCTGCCAGGGAGGCTCGATGATCGACCGGCAGCTGAGCCCACACGGCGAAGGCTCCACCGGTGAGACGCAGGGGGACCACCGCTCCAAAGTCCACGCCACGGTGGGCGCACAACAGTTCCGCGCGGGTCCACCACTCTACCACGTCTGTGGTGCCGTCAAACTCCGCTATCACGCGGACGTCCAAGGCACCCGCGCTCACTGCACTCGCGGACACTGATGGCACCTCGTCTCCAGCCATGGTAAGGCCGAAATAGCTTGTATTCGTCCGATAGCGCGAAACGGGCCACTGCACACGCGAGACGGGCCACCGCACACCCCCAGTCACACAGCGCGAGAGCCCACCCGGTCCTTCCGTCCCCAGACCCCCTGTCGTCCCGCCTCTGACAGTGAGGCCCGGTACAGTCCGGGGCCCGGTACAGCCCGGACCAGGTACCGTCTCTAACATCGGCGCCGGGGACGGGATACCACGACCCCGGTATCACGCCACAGGTTATTCACCTAAAATTCTGAAACATGGAACACTGTCATACCAGCATTCCATCATGTCAACCAGCATTCCGCAGCATGTTAGCAGAAGCAGCAGCATGTTATAAGTATATGAAAGATCCAAATAGGTTGTAGGTTGGTAGGTATTGGTACTAAGTTTAACTTAATAGGTTAGTAGGCAAGATTAGGATTAATTTTAGTTGAGCATCAAGATAACCATTACGAACAAGTAACAAAATCCTTACCTACCCTTGAAAGCATTGCTTCAATCACATCATCACGAAGAACCAGACAAAATTTTTGCACATTCTTACACTATTTGACATCCTGAATCCAGATATGATGCTTTCATGTGGCGCAAATACAAGAAAAACGAATAATCAAACCCGTGCGTATTCGTATCAACGGCGCCACAATTGTAGATCAGACCTTTTCTGAACAAATGCCACCACAATTTTAATTGATAAGGGATTAAAATGGCATGAGCATCAACATCTTGATTTTTTCTAAAAGATAGCGATAACTGATAACTAATAACTTACCATTCATTTTGAAATCACGGCGGTAGGTACACCAACACATGGCACTGAAAACAGCAAAAGACGGAATGGCGGAATGTCGTATGGAGCCCTAAAACGCAGCTCGAATTGAGCCCGAAAAGGAAGACGAACTGATGCCGCTTTCGGGGCTAATGTACTTTGAGCCCGAAAAGGGCGCCTAACTGATCCCGATTTTAAAATCATACAGATTTGAGCCCTGTTTTGGCACTCATATGAGCCCTTATTCAAAAATGTTCTCAAAGTGTTTTCTGAGTGTCCAGGGGCGTAGGCAGGGGGGGGGCCACTGGGCCATGGCCCCCCCCCCCTTGGGCGCCGAAGGCGCCCTTTGCGATTGGAGGGCGCCGAAGGCGCCCTCCAATCGCAAATGCAATTGTGATATAATCGAATCGAAAAACAATCGCGACTGGAGGGCGCCCTCCAATCGCGAATGTGTTTACAGGGAAAATACGGATGGAAGGCGCCCTCGGAGGACGCCCATTCCAAATACGCCCTCCAAATACGCTTGGAGGGCTCCCTCGGGCGCCCTCCAACCACATTTGTAGGCTGTAGCTCTCTAAGCGTAACGGTGGTCGCCTATGTAAGCCGCTGTCCTGTAAATAAGCGCCCTCTCACCCGAAGGCGCCCTCCTGTAGGTCGCCACCCTGCTACACATTGCCGCCCTTCTGCTGATCGGCGTCCTCATAATTATTGGCGCTCTTCTACCTATTGCGCCCTCATGTGAAATTTTGAAGGCCGCCTTTCTCCCTTTTGGCACCCTCTTGTTCAGTGCCGCCCTCCTACCTATTGGTTCCCTAGTCCTTCCTGTTGAATGCTAATCGGGGCCCTTCTCCTATTGGCGCCCTCGTGTTGATCGCCGCCCTCCTAACCACTGGCACCTTCCTGTTGATCACCGCCCTCCTATCTACTGGCACCTTCCTGTTGACCAGCGCCCTCCGCACAGACGCCCTCCTGTTCGTGTCATCCTCTTGAGCAAAGGCGCCCTCCTCACCATTGCCACCCCCATTTTAATCGTCACCCTTCCGCTCATTGGCGACTTGCAGTTGATGACCGCCCTCCCACCTATTGGCGACCTCTTGTTGATCGCCACCCTCCTATTGGTGCTCTCCTGTTCCTCGCCACCCTCTTACCTGGTGGCGCCCTCCTGTTGATTGTTGATCGGGGCCCTCCTACCTATTGGTGCCCTCCTGTTGATCGCTGCCCTTCTATCCATTGGCGCCCTCCTGCTGCTCGCCAACTTCCTACCTATCGGTGCCCTACTGTCGAAACTCGGGATGTTGATCGGGGCTCTTCTACCTATTAGCGCCCTCCTGTGGATCGCAGCCCTTCTACCTATTGGCAACATCCGTTGATCGCTGCCCTCCTATCATTTATTTACTCCTTTGGCATGTTCTTCAACTTAGTCGTTCTATTGCACATAGTTGATGTCTTGCCTGTGAAAACTGCCACAAATGAACGTGCATTCAGCACAATGAATGAAGTACCTATACCTACCAAAACTATCTACGCTCTACGATGCATAAAACACGTCTTTGGTCTTAACGGATTGATCCTACTTTACGTGCATCATGGCATCTATATGTATTACGATTAAGTATTGTCAACAGGTTCGGCCGCAACAGCAGGCATCTGAAGTTTCGGTGATTGAAACTGGTTATGTGGGTACACTGTATGCACCTGTGAGAAGGCTATGAAGGCTGGTCTGAGGTAATTTGGATGATGTTTACGCATCTCGCGCTCCGGTATCAATCCGATACGGTGATCTGGTGCGTAGATATGCCACCGCCAATAAACTTTTATACATCGACACCCATGAGCCAAGCTTTCTATACAGTTTGTGTGGCAGCGGCCCGACCAAACCTTAGGTATTTTTTATACCTTCAAATTTGGTAAAAGAGCGAGAGGAGCTTTGAACAGTGATCGTATAAAAGGCGTGCCTAAAAAGCGGAGGAAAAGGTTGTTTTCAAAAATTTCGCGCGCCTTCGGCGCAGCATTTCAAGACCACTTGACCTTTTGTGACCTGGAGTATAAAGAATACACACGATGCAAAATCAATGCAGCACGACCTATACGAGGTTACGCAAAAAAAAACTGGTGGCATGGTAAAAAACGCCTCCCAACCCCCCCCCCCCCCGTTGAGTGATTTTTTATCTCGCGACCGTATGGCGCCCTCCTTGGGTGAGGTGGCGCCCTCCAAACCCTTGGCCCCCCCCTTCGCGATTTTCTAAATACGCCGCTGTGAGTGTCTATTCTTTATAGTGACTCATTTTGCTTGCTCTCAATTACTATTTTGTGTGCCAACCAATAAAGTCTCGGTTATATATTTCGTTTCCCGCAAAATTAAAAATTCCGATTTCGTTGCGTTTCTAAGCGATTGTACCTATAAATAGTCGTTATTGTAGATGCAATAAAATGTTTGGTAATATATTCAAGAAATGTTTTCAGGAAACTGTCGCTTTCAACCAACGCCATTGAAAAAATTGCAAACCTGAATGCCCTCAAGAACCTGAAGATACTCTCCTTGGGACGGAATTGCATCAAAAGTTTTACTGGCCTAGTAAGTATATGCAATATGCATGTCGATGAGCAATGGAGTGTTGCACAAATTCACCAGTTATCGCTACAAATGAATAACGGGTAGTTACTGATGAACCAGTCGCTCATTTGTGGTCGCATATAATAACCATCGTTATTTTTTTCGTGCTGTGATTCTCGTTTTGATGTTTCCGTGCTGTTCTCATGGAGTGGTGTAGCGTGTGCATTGATGACTTGAGATATGCCATGCCTCCTCGCCCTTCGTTGCTCTTTAGCGTCAACAAGAACAATGTGTTACAGCGGTCACAGCCCAGTTAATGTTTGGCTTGCTCGGTGCTGTAGTTTCGGCTATCAACGAGATCAAACAATCAAGCAATCAATCAAGACATCAAAGAGTTGTAACGGCCCTCTTCCTTGGACGAGCGAGAAACCACATCGGTCCTCTAAATCATCAGTGTTAACCCGTTCTTATCCTTCAGCTTACTCCATTCTTCTCAAGCACACTATCATTCTTGGCGTGTATTCGGCATCTGGAAAATGAGTGATAATTTTCTCGGAACACCGGGATCAATCGGTATTTTAGGCTGTCAATGTGCACAACGGACCAACAACGGACAATAGACATTACAACGGAACCATTAGCGAGGCAAGCATCGATGGTCCCTGCAATACCAAATAATTACCGGTAAAAACTTGACTAATTGCATCGATGGTCCCTGCAATACCAAATAATTACCGGTGATCCCGGTAAATTATCCCTCATTTTCCAGATGCCGAACGCAAGCTTATCCTGTTCCGGACTGACTGGCACTGTACCCGGACAACCGATGGAGCCTGGATGGCAGCTCCAGCGGGAACGAGTAGTCCTTCGGGGTGGCCGTTTTAACCCTATTCCTGGCGGGCTCCGCCGGGACAAGAAACTGGCGGGGGGGGGGCCGATTCGGCCCCCCCCCCCCTGAGATCTCGAGAACGAAGCAAGATAGCGACAAGCGGTAAACGGCATCGGATACGCACGGCCAAGATCTACAATTTTTACTAAGGTCATTTTCAGGTCAGGTCAAAGATGACGTCACAGGGGTCGAAAAAGTCAAAATGGCGGCACTAGATATGGAGAGTTTTTCTCGAATAACTTTCGAATTAGTCAAGATAGGAACAAACTAAGGGCATCATCGTGATCCTCTCGTCAATCCGCATCGAATGATATATATGTTGACCTCGAAAGGTCAAGGTCATAGGTTGACCTCAGGTCACGTGACCTCGAGGTCATCATGTATATCATTCGATGCGTCTTGACGAGCTGAACACAATGAGACCATCCACGCGTCTGTATCTTGTTCCTGTACGGAGTTATTGGCCAAAAACCTTTGGTGACCTTTGATGACGTCACATGACCTCACAGCTGCCCAACAGCAAAACAGACCTCAAGGTAGTGAAGGTTGATCGTATATGAAGTCATGTATGGTATATGGGGCCATTCCGACCCGTTTTAGTGGTAAAAACAGGGAGTTGATTTTTCCCCCATTGACTTATAATGGGGAGGTCGCGAAATTGACCTGACCTTAGGTCACCGATATCAAAATTCCGAGATATACAAATTGCACATACTGGTACCCTAACTAAACCCTGAAGAGAAGAAATTGATCGGTCAAAAACTCTAGCTCTGGTGTGATTGCAAACTTTTCTGAGGTAGCGTCACCAAACCGCCTCTGGTGACCTGACCTGAGGTCAGATCAACTCAAAATTTTCAGACACGTTGCGTAGAAGCCTTTTAGGAAAAGTCACAAAATTTGAGCTTCCTAGCTCAACGCGTTTGGGAGATATAACCAAAAAACCTCAGGGGGGGGCTCCTGAGGCCCCCCCCCCCCCGCCAGGAATAGGGTTAACCATTTAACGACTGGTTGTCCCGTCCCAGGCGAAACGCTCTTCGAAGACGGAATCGGTTCAGTCGAGAAAGGAAATGCAGCGAAGAGCTTTTGTAAATCGTTATTCTAGTCTCTAGAACTGGTCATAAAATGTCGAATCGTAAATCGTTAGTTGTTAATCGTTAAAAAATAGACTCATCAATTGCCCGATGTTTGGCTTTAACAGGCTTTAGGCAATAGCTTCCTCAGGGTCTGGAAAATAAACATGAAAAAATGTGTTTGTGAGTGCGACACACGACCGTTGGTCCGCTCACCTCAAAATGCCACCACTTTATCCTCTCTAAGGTACTAGAACCACGATCCTAAATGGTCTAAACAGACCAATTAGGCCTAACCCAACAAAACAAGCTCTAATTATGGCTCTAATTATGCATTTTCAGGAGGTCGTTGCTGATACATTGGAAGAACTCTGGATCTCTTACAATAATATAGAACGAATGAAAGGGATCAACGCACTTAGAAAACTTGCTGTCTTGTACATGTCAAATAACATCGTCAAAGATTGGTCGGAGTTCACAAAGCTGAACGAGCTGCCGAATTTGGTCGACCTTGTCTTTGTGGGTAAGTCCTAACGCTTTTTTAATCAAGTGAACATTTGTACATTTTTAGTCAAGTTTGTTGGTACGTATATTGATGTTCATATAGTGAACGACTCCCAAACTGTAAAAATGAGATTCGCTTATCCACGTCGACAGTGCAGTGACTACAAAAGTAGGTGTATGGTTGCCGTACCGTTGACGCCGCAATTGTGGCACCGTTTCAGTTTAGCGATACCTGGCCCTTTCCCGCATCTGTACGCGGATGAGGACTAGGCCTCGATCGAGCTATAAAGTCGCTGTTTGTCCCCAAAGAACCGCCCCGTACGCCATTTCATGCGAGTGCTCCCGAGTTTAAATTCAGTGCAGCGACATTACCTACCTGCCGTCAATCGCGCCTGATGTATCCGACTCACCGTGTTCCGCAGGGAACCCGCTGGAGGAGAGGTACGCAGCGGAGGGTACCTGGCGAGAAGAGGCCATCAAGAGGCTACCCAGCATCAAGCGCCTGGATGGGGCTCCAGTTATAATGCACTGATCCGACCCACGACACGTTGGATTCATGGAAGACATCTCTGACAGTACTTTACTTTTCATATGCAAGGGACGCTTCACTGAACGTCAGATGGTGAACGTTTAGGTAAACATAGATGAGCGTTTCATTTGCAATGTGTTTTATTTACTCGATGTCGAGACTATTGTGTTCTTTGTTATTTAAATCTCTCAGGTCGCTTATTGAAGAAATGTTTTAACTACGTAGTTGGGAGCTTTAGAACACGAAGTGAGTTGGCTCGTCGTTCAGGTTGTCTTGTGGAATGCGGTACGTTATATCGAAAGTACATACCTACCACTTTTTGATGTTGTGCTTATGCCTCCTTCGATTTCAGCAAAGCTTTTGAAGACGACCAATTTTGAGACGGTGGAATGTCCCTAGACTTGCCGAATGTATTATGATTTATGAAGGCCGCTGCAGAGTCGAATTTATTATTTGTCACATCTGTACCATTTGCTATTGTATTTGACCATGACGCCGATATATAATGCCATAAAATGTGCCGTTCAGCTGTTTGACAATCCACGCGCAGTTCGATCTATATATTGCGAAGGCATGTGAATGAAGCTGAACGCATCTGTAGACGGTCACCCCGAATGAAATACATTGTGTTCATTGTAATGGTTTTGAGGACTATTTTGAGAGACACTATGCAAATAATAAAAAGTAATATTGCTGCTCTCATTCTCATGTTAGCCGAAAAGATAAAAATAAAAAATACGGTATCGGGAGCTATTCGGCTTTGTGCCTTCCTTTAGGTACCTATCAGTAACTGTCGACATAACGGTTGTAAAACTTAAGCACAAAGCCGAAAGCACCCAATCGAGGGGCGGTCCTGGATTAACCGGGAGCCACTGCCCGCCGCTGTTTGCACGACGGGTCGGAAGCCAAATAAAATCCAGGACCTGGGTTCCGCAGGTCCAAGATTTAATCCAGGACTTCCGCAGCGCCTGGGCACTGCGGCGTAGTAAAAGATCGTTCTACGCCGATCTACGGCTAGAACGTAACGTTCTACCGTAACGTTCTACGAACGCCGTAGAACGTTCGTTCTACGGCGGTACTGGTAGTGGTTTTCCGGCCCGTCGCTCCACACCGAGATACGCTTCGGCTCTAGATTTTGACCCTTCCTACAAATTGGAATGCGGTTGAACAAAATAAGGGTCTATGCATAGTGCACTTCAGAGTAAATTATTTTTAAATTTGCAGCTCGTTACATGAAAAAAGCCAGCAGAGATCTCAAATAAATATGCGAATGAAGGATTTGTGTGATTTGCAAATGGTTGTATTTTTCCTCGGGAATAACCAAGGCCGTATAAGAGAGGTAGAATCATCCCGCGATTTCCAATGGACCGGTCGCTAAGCATTAGCGTGACGTCACTGGTGGAGACCGGGCGGCGCCCGGCTCCAAGCTGTACGTCGGGTAACATTTGGCACCGTATAGTTGTTATTACTGAACGACGAACGTAACGACAACTAATCACTCTTAATAACTTTTTTACTCACCTAGAGCTGATTTCCTTGCCGGTACATTGCCGACCCGAGCCCCAGGGTTGACAATCATGGGATGGGATATGGGTCGGATGGGCGACCTCGCGACGGGAGGAGGAACGATTGCAATTGTTGTGTTCCGCACCGCCGATTGCATTCTCTATCTGCACCGGGGGGAGGGGATGCAGGGGGCACGTGCCCCCATCGGATCAGGGGGCCTCTCGGGCCAGAGGGGCCTTGCGACGCCAATTGGCGGCTGAGGGTCCATGCTGGCATCTTTCGACTCAGAAGGGCCCCACAGGGCTCGGAAGAACACCTTATGTGCTCCGAAGAGCCACACTTATCTCCATAAGAGCCCCACACCGGCTTTTTAGTGTCCCTTGTTGGCCTTTGAGGGCTCCTTGCCGGCTTCTCAGGGCTTAGGCGACCTCTGAGGGCTACTTGCCGGACTCTGAGGGCCCTTACCGGCCTATCAGGGACCAGCAGCTCTGAGGTTCCACACACGCCTGCGATGACCAGCTAAACCAATGGTTGAAGGCCCCCACAACGGCGCCTGCGAGGGCCCTCACCGGCGGCTGTGAATGCCCCACACCGGTGCCTAGCTGAGGGCCCAACACTGCCACCTCTGAGTGCAACCGGCACCCCTGAATGAGGTCCCGAAACCAGTACTTCTTAAGGCCATATATCTGCGGCTCTGGGGGCTCAACGCCGGAGCCACATCGGATGGCCACTCACCGGTGACTTTTGAGGCCCCACACCGACGACTCTGAGGGCCCCACTGGCGTCTGAGTGTACCTTGCTGGTCTCTAAGGACTCCACAGGGCTCCCGAAGGCACCGCAGACCCCTCTTGAGAGCCCCTTGTCGGTCTCTGAGAGCCCCTGTCGGCCTGTAAAGGGTTCGAGCCAGCAGCTCTAAGGGTCCCACACCCGACTGTGACAACCCCACACTGCAGTGTCTCTGAGGGCCCACAACGGCAACTGTGAGGATCCTCACCGGCGCCTCTGAGGGCCCACAGCGGCACCTCTGGGTGCCGCTGTGGGCGCATGCCTCTGAGAGCATCACACCGGTACCTGTGAGGGCCCACACCAGTGCCTCCAAAGGCTTCATAACCGGCGGCCATGAGGGCCCTACACGGGTGATTTTGAGGGGCGTACCGAAGGCACCACACAATCCCTTAGTCTCGCTGAGCTTCTATCCCAATCCCATACCGGCTTCTATCCCAATTCCGGCTCAACTAATTATCAGCCCCCACCCCCACCCCCCTCCATGGGTCAGCAGCGCCGCGCCGGTGCCGGGGGCCAGCGCCATCGGGGCGGCAGTCGGCCACGCGCACTCAGTGGTTAGCGCTTATCACCGGCGGCTAGCGTGTAGCGGGTGCAACAGCGCTCCGTTGCTAGCGACGGCGCCGTAGCGTGTGCAACCCAGCGGCGGCGTCGTAAACTAGTAAATCCTTTTGATGCACGCAGATGTCAGTGATTGATTGACACATATGTCTTGTGATTGTTTTCTGCCTTATATGTTATCTCTTGTAACCGTAGCCGTTGTATTGTCACGCCTTAAGAGGGTAATCTAGGAGCGCAGGTGTGGAGTAATTTTTCTTTGTCCAACTGTCACTGTAATTTGTAATATTACCATTTAGACGCTGAAACTACCTATGCAAGGTAGCCTTGCTAGAAATATAGTGTGCCAATTTTTGTTCAATAAATCACCTGTCCGTGCTTCTATCCTAAGGATACTGAAATCCTTCTCCTCCACGCCACAACCCCCTTCTGGGCTGGGCAGGCAACTTTATCTCATGCGGGCTGCTCCCTTGGAGCGGCACCGCTGCCCCCGAGGGAGCGCACCCCGTAGCCGGGTGCAGTGAGTGCCTTGGGGCTGGGTGGCCTGTCTTCGGACGGGCTCAGCCCCGGCGACTCACTAGGGTGCCTGCCCAGACCAATGTCTCCCCCTAATTCCTATCATCCTTCCGGCTCTGCAATGGTCTTGTCGACCGAAAGGGCCTAACCCAACAAAACAAACAAACAAAACAAACAAGTTCAATAAATCAGTACGATCCACGATCGGTAACTCGTTCATCCTAGTCAAGCTCAGAGCTACCGACACGGGCCCACATCGGGAGTCTCCTCCTCCCTTGGAGTTGTGTGGTGCCGACGGTGGCGGATGGTAGTCTCTGCCTTGACAATCCTTTCACTCCCTCTCACAACGAGAGGTGAACTACTAGCGGTATACACTGCTAGCGGTTCAAGTGGAGATCGGCTACTCTCAGCCGTGCCACAAGCGCACGCCCGGTGTGTTATGGGCCGTGAGCCGCTCCAAAATGGCTGCAGTAACTGGTCGATATAGGTAGTAAGCAGATGCAGAGATGCAGGTGGATTGATGACCGGCAGGCTTTTGTGTTTTACGAGGGTGAAGGGTCGAAGTCGGCTGCTAAGTGGTGAGCGGATTTTATCAGATGCCGGTTCACTATGACCTTTGTCCGGGTCCTGGTACCCTGACGCACTCTTGGAGAGCCGAATCACAGCAAAACTCCATCCACGACTGTATCTATACGGCTTACGCTTTTCTGAAAACGTCTGCGTTTGGCCTGCTAGTTGCTACGGGCCCGGCCGGCCGGCCGGCCGGCCCCGATTGGCGGTCCTCCAGTGACGTCACCGGTAGTGTTAAGCTGATTGGCGAATAATACATGGGAAGAACCGGGACGATATCCCCCTAACAAAATTCCATCGCCACCCGTTTTGTTGGCGCAAGACGCCATCTTGTTTCCGAAGCTGGCGTGTGTGTTGTTTGGTTGTTATTTTAGTACGGCTGCGATTTATCAAATAAGCTCTGAAAACTGAAAGTCACTGAGGGGAAAGAGAGGTAAGGATTCAGCTCTTACCCTTTGATGTACTACCCCGTTTAAGCATTTCTTGTTTGAGGCTAGCCAGTTTTTTATTTCGAGGGTGCGCCAGTTATGTATCATTAATCATACCAATACATTCTTGCTGCATTAATTATGCATTGAAACTGAGTTGAATTAGCTTGAGTGGTAAAAGAGATGTTGTTCTATGTTCTTTATTATGTAGCTACATGCCTACTTAGTGTTGAAACTTCTTGTTATTATGAATGGAAAGTTCCCTTCTTCTCATTCTGGGTGTTCGCTGGGCTTCAAATTTGCGTCATGTCAATGTTGAACATGACAGGTAGAGGGGCTGATGTCTGTGATGAGTCTTTGTTATGCTCAACATGGTCTTGATTTTTAGTCATTTATCTAAACTTTCATGGAGTGTTGAGTGTTTCAGCTGTGTAAGTACTTAGATACCTTGCCAAGCCAGTGTTTTCTAATTTCTTGTTCCTCTTTTGCTCTGTTAATACTTTAATTCTAAACAGAAAAAATGGTCTTAGTCTCTTTTAATAGTCTTTTTTCAGCTATGAAAGGTCCAGGACTATCCCATTTTAGGCATATTTAGGTAGGTACATCTTATGTAACCATTCTTTCTGGTGTGCAAGTAGGTACCTTCCTACTATAGTCTGTTTTTCGTATCTTCTACCTTCACTCAAAGATGTTTTGCCCCTCCAGCACGTTTTTAGGGTATAGTTTTCAAATATTGACCGCATGGCCCACCACTCATTGCAGGAGTTTGTTGCTCGTGTTGGAGTTCGCCTTCGCTGCGCAGATAAAATCGGAAAAGAAACCTTTAAGCTAGAGCATCGCTTGTATTATCGTTACCACGGTTAATTGGTACTGCATACCGACCTATACACAAGGACGTTTTGCTGTTCATAGGTACTTGCATTGTGCGAAGCGCTCTTGCTAAGAACATTTAAAGAATAGTTTAAAGCTTGCACTTCCTTTTCATTGGACAAAAGAAACGAAATGTGTTATTATGTTCTGCCATATTTTTTCAAATGCTTAATTTATGTTTTGCTTTATTTACGTTGCGATAAATTTTACACTGACGAATAACAAAATTGTCTTAGCCCACGCCCGCTTGGGGGTCCCCAGGCAGATTTGCTTCATCTTATAGTTTTCCTATCTGCCTCACGCGATCATCCCGAAAAGTAAGAAAGATACGAAGACGCGGGCAAGAATCGATGGCTCTCAACAATTACATACTTTCAGCAGTATACGTATATAGTATATACCGCACTTTGATGAGATCAATAGTGAAGGCCACTGAAGGTCATAAATTTAAAAAACTCCCGAGTTCAACATGTTTGGACAAATCTGACCAAACCTTGCCAACCGATTGAACTCCGGGGGGGGGGGGCGCCCGGACTACAGCGGTCATCGGCGCCGATTGAACTACAGCGCCGTCGAAACATTTTTAGTTCTAGCAGCTATTAGGTATTGTCGAAAGCTGCTGGTGATCTTTATCATCTGACCTGACTTTTTGACCACTGGCAATCACCAACGCCTTAGGGCTTATATTATGATACACAAATGCAGGTAATAACAACAATAACACCCACGTAGGTATGCATTTTTCGTATTATATTCCGCTGAAAGCATGACGGAGTTAAACGGTGCCACCGCCGCACGGTAGGCGATCGGGCCGGTCTAGCCTCGCGAAACCTCAAAGACACTTTTTTCCGAAAATTGGAAAACAACGCATACTAGTCGACAGAAAATTCATCAAAGATTACGATTAGTGCATTTGCATGGCTCCGGAGACATTTTTTCGTAGACAAAAGTGTCGTTAAAGACGGTGTTCCGTAACACTTCATAAGGGGGATAATCACAGCTGATTTTTACGCTCTTTGAATATTTTGCGGAACGATGAAATTGCTAGGTGTTGAGCATCCATTTTGCATGGAAAGTGAAATTTAGATGTTTAGACGATTCCGCAATAGAAAGCAAGTAGACAAAATCAGTTCAAAATGTCTTATAATTAGGTTAACTTTTTATATTTTTTCTACCACTGAACATTAAGTTCACTGAATTAACCAAGCCCAGCAAAAAAAGTTTTACGAGGATGAACTGAAAATAATGCTGTATCGCATGCACTAAGACACTATCTATTAGGGGAGCCAGTGAAAATTTGCAGCCACTTGCAGCCCTGGCATCCAGACACTTTTTTCTTCTAAGGGTTGGCCGTGGCTTGGTGCACTTGAGCACAAGTGGTAAATGCCCCAAAGGGTGTTTTCACGATAGCTCAAAACACCCAGGCAATAGAGAGCTGCAACCTGGCATACCTGGCCTTTGATGCACGCTGGATCTTGTGACACCAATCGCACTTTCAAGACAGGTCAGGTCACTGACCTATGACGTCATACATGAACCTCTGCACGATCCTCAGATGTCGCAACCTTGCAACGCTCTCAGTGCCAGAGTAACTTTCACAGGGAGGTGAGACTTGCAGGACTTATTGTCCTTCAGAGGTCTTACAACTTGTATATCTCAGATTTTTCCTAAATGTCACATAAAGTCAGGTTGGTCACGTGACCTCACCTATAAGTCAATGGGGAAATATGAAAAATGTTATTTTGGCGCCAGGAATGATATTCAATTGTCTCAAGTACATGGAATCGTTACTTCATGCACTCCTTGCAAGATCTGATGCTGCATTTTTGCATTGTTGACCTTGCATGACGTCATTTATGACGTCACTAGGGTCATACGAGTTTTTCGTCAATAACTCCCGATCACATTGAGCTAGAGAGTCGACAAGGTCACCAATGGACTCCGGAAGACCTGCCGAATCGAATGATATGCGATATGACCTCCTTCGACCAACTTCGTGATTTGAAGACCTCTGACCTGACCTTGACTCGAGGTCAAGGTCAGGTTGACCTTACGGTGGCCTCACCTGAACAAAAGTATACTATTCGACGCGCCTGAGCAAGGCGAACACGACGATGTCAAAATCGTGGTTCTGCGGCCATTTTTGCGAAGTTATTTGCCAAAAACCAAACCCGCTGCTTGGGTCACGTTATGAAATGGGGCCTTGCCGGGCGAGATTTACGCTGTTTCATGATATGTATAAATAGGTAGGGCATAATTGTTTGAATAAAAAAAATTGGTTTGGAAGCAATTTTCTACGGAGGTACACACCATTTCAATGTCCTACCCAGCTCATACCGTCATAAATTTCGACCTACCCTCAAAAGTATTCATGCGTTATTCGAGCAGCAATTAGGCAAATTGCAAGCTCGCCACAGAGCACAAATCCTATAAGAGATAGTCCTTATTTAAAACATATGCTCATTGGATATTCAAGAAGGTTGCTCCTAAATATTGTGGTTCTAGCTTCAAAAACATGGATGTTATGAATGCCGATAGGTTTCGCGAGGCTACACCGGCCGGATCGCCCACTGTGCGCCGTCGGGGCTTCAACACTTTTCTTTCTGGTATCCAAGGAAGTAAGTTCGTTATTCTGGCGATATTCGTTGGTTGTGCTCCTTCTTCACCGCCTTATTTCAGTCACCTAACCCACATTTCTTTTGCTTTGAAACGTTGCAGGAAAACGTTACGATCATTTTGTCTTGTCTGAGACCAAGCCCTTCTGTTGTTTGAAAACATAATGAAATTAGAAAGGGATAATTTTGCCAAAATGAAAATATGATGACACGTTTTTATGCAAATACATTTCACTTGACAATGAACATTGCATTTTTTTTTGAACAGCTAGGCCAAGGGGACAGACGTTCGATCTTGCGCAGATCTTGCGTTCGAGTTGCGTTCGAGATAAAAATTGACTTTGCAGCGGTGTTGATTTAATTAGATGTTCGCTGGAGCACGTGATTAGAGAGTTTACCGTCTTTGAGTGAAGGTAGAAGATACGAAAAACAGACTATAAGTTATTATTTTTGGGATTACCTATGGTTCAGTGGTAAGAGATCATTGTTGATATTTTAGATGCATGACATGATATTTTTCATGGCTGTATCATGGACTGACATTTTTATTGTTGATTTTTCAGATGCCTGGCACCAGAGTGTACATTGGAGGTCTTCCTCAAGGAGTCAGAGAGCGGGATGTGGAGAGATTCTGCAAGGGCTATGGAAGACTCAGAGACATTCTTTTAAAAAATGGTTTTGGTTTTATTGTAAGTACCTAAATAGTTAAATACCTAGGTACCTATCATACCTAGTGAAGGAATGAATGTGGAATAAAGAAATGGATAGGTGTTGGCTTAGGTGCTGCAATATTTATTGTATCATTTTTTCATAGTGCTCATGATGAAGTCAGAATGCTGTCTGATATTATCTCACATCACTGCGTAACATGTATCAATGATATGTAGTTCAACTTTTTAAATTGCTTGCTCATTTTGGAATGGTAGTTTATTGGTCCACATGAAATTTGTTACATTGGACATCTTTATCACATTTTTTCTTTGTTTAACTATTATTATTTTACATTTTTTTATCCAGATATAAATTATTATCAATTGTTGCTCATCCACATTTTATGTCTTCAGGAATTTGATGACCCTAGAGATGCTGAAGATGCCTGCTATGAACTTAATGGCCGTGATTTGATGGGAGAAAGGTATGTTCTATGCATACTCTTAATGTCATTCATTGGCAATGGCTGGTAGTGTGTTTTGTGAGGATGTTTGAGTTAACCAATAATCATCTTAACCCGCGCCCGGCTGGGGGTCCTGGATTTCCACGCCCTGCTGGGGGGGGGGGTGTCTGAACACCCCCCCCCCCCTTCTAACTCGGCTCCTGGGCCACGTAGCGATACGCGGAAGGCGGCGTTCGAAAGAGCGTCAAAAATAATGATGAAATCACTTCGGTCAATTTTTCGGTCAGGTTAAAAGGTCAGGTCACCAGAGGTCATTGAAGGCAAAATTTTGCCGATTTCCAGGTCGAATGTCGACAATTTCCAAGAAGCCAACGCATAACTCGGGAACCAATAGAGCTACAGCGCCGCGGAAAAGCGCATTCGATAGCCCTTTTAACGCCCTTTCTGAGTGATTTTCTCAGATTTGACCTAACGTCAACGGTTTTGCCTGCAGGGGGCAAAAACTGCAAAAATAGCCGATTTTTTCGGAAACAGTTTTTCTGCAATAACTTTTGACCCGAGCCTTGTACGAGCTTACTTTTACCGGCATCGTGTTCCTCTCGTCAAGGCGCATCGAATGAACTATAACTTGACCTTGAAAGGTCAACTTGAAAATTTGACCTCAGGTCAAGGTCATGACCTGACCGGAAAGGGTCATGTTGCATATCAGTCGATCCGTATCGTCGAGCTAAACACGTCTAAGGCGTTTTTATCGCTCTAGCATGCCTCTATCAAAAGTTATTTGCGAAAAACTGTTAGATACCATTCGTGACCTAAGATGACCTCAGGGGCATAAACAGGGGTCACGGACACCATTTTCATGTTCAGTGTGTCTTAAAGGGACCCTCCCACCTTCAAAAAAGTTAATGAATTGGCATGAAAGTGATGTCGCTCGGTTCAGAAAGAGCAAAAACGAATATCTACCAAATTTCATCGAAAAATATTCACCGGTTTTCAAGATATTAGACTTTTACTTTTGTGTACTTTTTGGGATCTCCGCTGTTCCTAGCGACTTTATTTGAAAGTGCGGCATTTGTTGCGCGCAAAGCAGCATATACCACCGCGTGCTACAAAACGTTTTAGTCAAACAATTAATGGACGTTCGAAAGCCTGATGACGTCATCAGATTCCCGTAATGGTTAAGAGATAGGGACCACGCTGGTCCCACCCTGCAAGTAAAGGGAAGAAATTTCTTGAACACCATAAAGCTGCGGGGGTTGCGACCAGGATAAATGGTGGTTTCTGAGCCTGGCCGCAAACTTGGCTATCTCAACTCAAAACTAATGTTAAGGTGGGAGGGTCCCTTTAACCACTTGTAATTCAGTGTTTGGGAGTGTTTATAATGTCTTTCGTCCAAAAGAGGCGCATTTCAATTTTCTCCCATTGACTTATAATGGGGAGGTCGCAAAATTGACCTGACCTTAGGTCATCGATATCAAAATTCTGAGATATACATTTTGTACATGCTATTGCTCTTAGAAGTCGCTGAAAGTTTCAAAGCGATCGGTCACTCGCCACTCGGTGTAGCTATGGCAGACATTGAAACTTTTTATGAGGTGAGGTCACTTTAAGTGACCTGGTGACCTGACCTTGAATGACCTTGGTCTGAAATTTTTACAACATGTGTAGAATTGATGTGTGATAAGGTGTACCACGCCGTTTTTTAGATATTCGCGAAAAACCACAAGGGGTCAACCCCCCAGCAGGGCGCGGGTTAAGTAGAGGGTGCTTTCTTTTGTCTAAATTTTTTTTGCAAGAAGAGTTACTGATGTGTATGATGAGATGCTTTGGGCAAGGCTTATTTTGAATGTAAATAAACTCCAGCATCATTCTACAATAGATAAAGCATCCACCTTACATAAAATACTACATAATCACATCACATTGTGTCATGTATGGACAGCAATTCGTCCCGATTTTACGATCTTTGTGACACGTTACCGCGGTCGGTGTCATCAGGATTACGATGGAATCGGCTCGTGGACCGTCTCGTCGCTACGACGACTGGCGTGGCGGCGGCGGCGGCGGCGGCGGATTTGGAGGAGGACGCAGCAGGAGACCCACCAGGTCAGTGGAATAGGATCAGTTTCTACCCATCTTACAAACAGCGAGTGACAAAGGCTATGTGTTGTATTGTTTGGCATTGCCTTGTCGTAGGGTGTCATGTATTCAGACGAGGTCTCGCTGAGAGCGTTTGACAGCCACGTAACGCTCTGGTCGGTTGTTTCAGCAGGTTTGGACCGCCGACGAGGACCGAGTACCGGCTGCTGATCGAGAACCTCAGCTCGCGAGTCAGCTGGCAGGTGAGTGTACCGCGCTGCCGGCGGGTGGCGGCCGGCGCCGCTGTGACTCCCGAGGCCGGCACAGGGGCGCGCGCTCACAGTATTCCCGCTCGGACAGGTGTGTGATGTGGCCCGGCGGCCGAGCTCTGGTCTGGTCTGGTCTGGTCTGGTCTGGTGGGCCCGGCGCGCCGGCCGCGGTGGTCTGACGGCGGCGGCAGAGGGGCGACGCCGCGCCCGCGGCACTGGTCCTCCCAACAGCGGCTGACGCGGCGACATCCGCTCCTGGGCACAGCAGCCAGACACTACGGCTTACCTTAACGTTACTCTGCCGTCGGCAGTGCTTGCTGGCCACTTAGGCCGATGCTATAAAAAGTACGCTACGCTTACTCAGTAATGGAACTTTCCTTTGTTTGCCACAGTTTCCCCCATACCTGTTCAATTTTGAACATTTTTTCATCCGATTAGTATAATATGGGTTGCTCTGCTGTCGGCTCCCGACAAGTGTGCTGTATCTGAAGTGTCCCCTAAACGTTGACCAATTCTCTTCAAGAGCGCCGTCCGAGGCGCAGTCAGGCGGCCGATGCGAGCCCCAGGCCGGGGGCGAGGCGCGCGGCTCGGGCGCGGCTCGGGCGCGGGCCGCCGCGTGGGGCGCACAGTGCGCACTGGGATGGCCCGGCCGACCGGGCGCGTGTTGGATGCGAGGCGGTCAGGCGCGTGTGTTAGTGGTCTGAGGGTCGGATGACTGGTTCGGCAGCTCTTGGTTCGGCAGCTCTCGTCAGGGCGCCAGGTATGACCGCTATCGCCGGCCGGCCGGCCCCTTTCTCCCCCGCTGGCCGGCCGACCTCTGTCTTCCCGCCCGCCGACTCGATTTTCTCCCAGCCGTCTCTCTCCCCTATATGGGTGTCGGTAACCTCTGCAGGCAGGGACGAGCTCTAAAAACCTGATTTACATCGTCCCTCTTCTCTGACCCGTTGGAGTCTTTAATCCTGCATCGGCGCCTGATCCGTGTTATTTCCCGGGCCCATCATTGTTTTGCTGCCACGCCGGGGGCCAAATGGTGGTTTGGTTTTACTGAATCTCCGTAACTGACCGCGTGTTTCCGTGTGCGTCGCCGCCATAATTTTTGTGCGGCTATCAGTTGGTTAGTGTGCAATGAGTCCTTTTAGTCCGCGTCCCCCAGTATGTCATATTCAGCCTTTGCTACTGATTAGTGCAGTAACTGCTCCTTTGCATAGCTCACTGACGGAGGACGCAGCAGTTGCTCGCCCTCGTCCTCCGGGGGCAGGCTGGCTGTCCTTCCAAATCCCAGGGAGGGTCAGCGGCCTGTCTCCTATTCGCCCCGGCCCCACTGACGCCCTGCTCTCGCGTCCAGGACCTGAAAGACTACATGCGTCAGGCCGGCGAGGTCACCTACGCAGACGCACACAAGGACCGACGTGGCGAGGGGTAAGTGTCAAACGCGGGGGACCGAGCAGCTATTTAAAATAGTTTTTTATCTTTGTCCGTTGTTCGTATTTAGTTCCTTCGTATAATTTGTGTCGATTCTACGTGTTGCATTCAATTTCGAAAACTTATTTTGCGGTTTGCATTCACCATTTCTCCCATTGCTGTAAATACGGCCCGAATTTTATACAACTGGTGCTGTCTAGCACGACACTTTTGCGCTGTTTTATCTTACCTTTCTCTTTTATATCGAGTCTCACTTTCTAGTCTTTGTATCTAGAAGGTTCTATCTTGTGGCACACTTGTTTTATTAATCCGACGTTATGGGCGCAAAATGACCTCAGTAGTCGGCGCGCCCTTAAGCCCCAATTATTTAACTAACTTGTACAACTGGTGTGTGCTATTTGTACTGAGTCACACCCGTCTGACCGTCCGGCAGTGTGGTGGAGTTTGCCTGCTACTCGGACATGAAGAACGCCCTGGACAAGCTGGACGACACCGAGCTGAACGGACGCCGCATCCGCGTCATTGACGACACTCGCCGCGCCCGCCGCCGCAGCCGCAGCAAGAGCCGCAGCCGCTCGCGCAGCCGGTCTCGGCGCCGCAGCCGTTCCCGTTCCCGCAGCAGGTGAGAATGGCGGTGAAGGGAAACGGCCGCGGAGTAGTGTAAACGGGCTGTTGACTCCGCTGTCTGATGGCCCTTTTTTAGGGCGATGGTGCGTGCTGTCAGTGTGTTCGTAGTTGCGGCAGCGCTCTCTCGCCGCGGTTGCGCCGTGGCAGACTGTACTGTGTCTGACCGTAGCTCCCCTGCCGGCAGGTCTCGCTCCAAGTCTCGCTCTCGCTCCAAGGACCGCCGCTCCAAGTCGCGCTCTCACTCCAAGGACCGTGACTCCAAGACCAGGTCCAACGGACGGGACAAGTCGCGCTCTAAGTCCAAGGAGCGTGAGGCCAGCGCCGACAGAGGTCGCGACGGATCTCGCGACAGGTATGAGTCATACCCGTCGACTCCCGCGACATTATTCAGGGCTGGAATAATGAAATAATGTGAGCTGGGGAGCTTTGTTCAATGTTGTTGATGCTCGATTTTTGCTGTTAGAATGACAGCTCGATAGTTACGACATCCTTTACCTTCTAATCTTGTTCCTCAGTAACGTCAACAGCTGTTCATTGCTCACATACTCAGGTGATTTTCAAATGATTTTCTGACGTATTGCTAAGTGCTAACTCATTTGTGTATTCCCAGGTCCAGGTCTAAATCAAAGGAAAGGGATGCGGACAGGAAGTCTGCTTCAAAGAGCAAGTCTCGGTAAGATTTTTAGTTTGCTTTTTCTTTGTTATCATTTTCCCAGATTTCACAAAGAATTAGTGCTCAAGAAGCTTCTTCATATTGATTTCAATGTTTCCGTTGATTCAGATTTCTCAACAGCCTGTTATAAGTTCGATGACGATGTACTTTTATCATCATATCTTACTGAAAGTAAATAGAAATCACAGTTCATGAGCCTGCTGTTCTAAGGCGGCTGGCCGTGCCTTTCTTTTTCGCTGACATTTGTGCGCTCTGTGCCCGGCAGGTCTCGGTCCCGGTCTGGCTCGCGCGGCCGTGACGACCGCCCGCGCTCCCGGTCGCGCTCTCGCTCCAAGTCTCGGTCCCGTTCCCGCTCCCGATCCCGGTCCAGGTCTCGGTCGGGGTCTCGTGGCGCCGACGACTGATGGCGCCGCCCCCCCCCCCCCCTCCCCCCTGTCGACCTGTCGCGCCGGGGCGGCGCGGCCGGCCGGCCACCGATGAACCGCGCGGCTCGGTGTATGTCTGTGACTGTAGGGGCTCGCCACCGGCAGGCCGACCTCTATGAGCTCCGTGGTGTGGATAGCGGACTGCGGGGTAGGTCATTTCACGTGTTAACATCATACCCGCATTCCCATGATTGTGTCTGCTACTGAGAAGTTATTCACCAATACACTTATCATCTGGGGATGTTTCTGTTCACTGCTGCTTGGGAATATTTCGCACTGGTATCGTGTCGTGTACACATTGTGGAGATGTCACGGTTATCACTGACTACGAATACATGAGCAAGTAAATGAGGAATGGATTTTCCTACTCGCTCACTTGCAATCCGTTTGTAGCACGTTTTACGCTGCTCATGTAGTCCTGGTCACTATCAAGTATCACCCAGGGCTCGAGGCATCTGCTTACGACCTAGCCCTGTTTTACGGGACGCCGCTACCCGATGCTATCGAGCATTGGCGGCGGCGCTTCAGATGAAAATGCTTTATGGAAATGTCAATATTGACAACTTGACACAGTCGTGGATGTATGGCGTGCGTATTGGGAGAATAAGGTGGGAGGTGAAGGCTCATAAATCGCGGTCACGTGTTATTTATGTAGCGGTTTCAATGAAGGTCATTTCGGACGGTTTACAGAGAACAATTGCTATACAAGATTCTTAGAAAACTATATTGATATAGGAAATGTTTCCTCCTGAATTCGGTTGGTCGAAGGTCGAATCGTCCCGCCACGAACAATTTCCTAGCGCTGTTCGCAAGCTGTTTGTTATGATCAGCGTGCTACACCCTGGCTTGCATTTATCGGCTTTTCATTGGTCAAACCTCGTAGTTCGTGCAATCCGCCAATGAGACGCTGAGAAATGGCATCACCGAACTTCCAAATATGGCAAAATTGACAGTAATCCGAACGCTCCGAACAGAAACCCAACTGTCGTGTGTGACCTGTGTGACGGTGCTTTATCCTTTATCCAAACATCTCTCTTTCATGCATCGAAACACACAGGGGTATGCATGCGAGTTATGTAGGAATTTTGGCATTTTCATAGTAAATACAAGACACTAGCAAGTGAGCCAACATCGGCAGGCCTATATCATTACAGCAAGGAAGGTGATTTTAGTGGCCCACCCATAACAATTTAAAATAAAGATGCTCACCAAGGTAAGCTACTTTTGGCCTTTTTTATTTGGCATCAATCTACATTTTGATAAATCAATAATAGATTAGAGTAGATTATAGAATAGAGTGGGCTGGGTCATAACCATTTATAAGATTGAAAAATCAGGAAAGGGATTGGTTCTCGTACATCATTCCTTTTATTCAAAGGAGAAAATATGGTATATCAGTGGGAGAAATTAGGAGACTGTTACTTGAATGCAATGTGTTAAATTGAGGCATTAGGCAATAGTAATTCCAAACTTTGCGGCACTATGCAGTGTTTTTTACAATGTTAACTAAACCCTTGGGGAAAGGGTGGATAACTTCAACTACACCCTGCATGTTGATGCGCAGGTATTTTTAAGGCGCAGACTTGCCTTATTGTATTTTTTAAGCTTATTCATTTGAATGGTGTGCCACTGCCACCACATCTGGGACCGGGATACTGGGGATACGGTTCTGATAGAAGACTATACGATTGAAATATTCACAGTGTTTATGAATATATATTAAATATCTTAAGCCTGAAACAGACTCTTTCCGCAGTCAGGAAATCGCATGCGAGAGCCTATTCAAATACATGGAAGCACACTCGCATCAATCGCACGCACCTCCCGCAAGCGATTGATGCGAGAAGAATTACAATGTATTTGAATAGGCTCTCGCATGCGATTTCCTGAGCACGGAAAGAGTCCGTTTCAGCCTTTAAGGAAGTTTAAGGAAACATCTTTAGATAGGGACCCATGGGGGTTGTTGGAATGTGTGAACTGTGAACTCATGAATGTGCTATAGCAATGTTCAGGTTAATTTACTAATGCATTCTTTTTCAGAAAGAATATGTTGAGATGATTGGTGTGAACTTGAAGCACTATATTCTATGTGAACGTCTGGACATGATACCAAATATAGAACAGGTATGTGCCATTCTGACCTGGGAGTTGGAGTGTGACCTTGCCCTTGACCTTGCCTGTGACTACTGTTCTGCTTGGATTCTGACAGTTCTGTATGGTTAAAGGTTTCTGAAAATGAAAAAAAGTATTTGTAAAACCTTGTTTATCTCTTTTGTAATATTTATGTTCAATTAAGCCTAGTGAGCTTCTGTAAAAAATAGTTTTTTTACAATTGTGAGTTGTGACTCCCTCATGAAGTTCAATTTTGTCATATCTCTGTTAGATGGATGCATTCTGGAGCTGTTGGGCAGCTCCCAGTCACCTTGGTAGCTCTTCCAGTTCTCTCACACTATTATCTCATTCACAGGAGCTCCTGAATGGGAAGATCATCTGCTACTCTTGTGAACCCACTAAGGAAAGTGTGAGGCAATGGCAGACCATGTTTGAGGATCTAACAAAGAGCAGCCTTTCTAAAACTGAAACCTGCATGCAGAAGAGGGCGTTTGTTCTAATTGCGGTAAGAAAATCTGTGAGATGTCTCACATATAACTAGGTAACACTTAACAGTTGCATGGAAAGAATGATTGGTGTGTTGTGTTGGTGTGAATTGTTTGCTTTTCATCTCTGTTGAAATGAGGAATATTTTTTAGCATCAAAAGTATTGAGTAGGTAAACATAGATTCAACAAGCAGGATTATTTATCAATTTGAGTTTTATTCCCACTGAAGACGATTTGTTATTATCTTATTTCACTATTTTCTTCGTATTTCGTGTAATACTTCAATAACAACTTCTAACCATGACCTTACCTGACAACCGATCTTTTCCAGATGACCCTGGCCTGCCAGCACTATTCCCGTGACCACCCTGGCAAGAAGGGCATCTCGCCCAAGGACATTGCCTGCCCGTTTCGGGTCAAACTTTCCCTTCGAAATATTGAGAAGGCCCTTGCTGATTCCAAGTAAGTTCTTGCTCGTTCTTTCAGTTTGTAGAATAACCTGCGGAAAGTCTCGATTTATCAAGTGAAGCTGGTGTGGTACTTTCTCTCATAATCTCGACAATAGTTATTCATTTCTGTTCAGAGACATTTTATTATGTGTGTAAGATATCTAAATGTTTCTCTTAAGATTATTATACCGAAACATCATGTTTTTTTTCTGGACTACACTGCTCCGCTTTTCCTTTGTTGACAAGTGGTGCAATATTTGTCAGAACGATTGTTGGAACAGAGTTCGAAATTTGTTTCGGCGTCAGAGGAAGTTGTTTGCTACAAAGGCAACTAATTCCTTACGGGATGGGGGGGGGGGGCAGGTGACAAAGGGCTATTGGCGGCTGACAGCCGGAGCGACCCCAATAACACCCCCGCCCGCGCGCAGGCGACGCACCCCTAGGATGGACGCCCTCTACCCTCTGACTGTCCGGTCGTCGGGCGGGCCGCACAACCACTCGATGGACGCCGTGCTGCGTCACCGCCGCGTCTCGGACGCCACCCAGCAGCGGCTGACGGAGCTGCTGACCGAACACCGGTCACCGGCCCGGGCCTGGCGCGTCTTCTGTCGTCAGATGAAGGAGGAGCTCGGAGACAAATTCGAGGAGGCGGCCAGCGACAACGCCGTGATCCCGGATCGTGGCTACATTTACCGGTGAGAGACGCACGCGGCAGGCTACCGTTCGGCCCCATGTCGCAGCGATGTGAAAAGAAGGGATGAAAATGATACACTGGGAAGTTTGTCTGTAGTACGGCGGCCCATTTTGCAATCGTGCCATTGTTGGTCGGTGGGGCCGCGTTTTCGGTTGGTTACGCTCTCGACCTGAGCGCGTCGTTTTTGTTTTTGCTGCAGGCTAAACAAGAAGCTGTTCGGCCGTGCCCAGCTGGACACACGCAGTCGGGAACACCGAGCTCCTCGACAGCCTTCCTCCTCCGAGTGCCACCTGGAGCTACTGCGGGAGCAACAGCAACAGCAGCTTCAGCAGCAGGTCGCAGTGGTGGTGGCAACTGGACGGTCCCAAGGCGACCTGATGCGCTTCGCAGAAAGTACCGACCTGTTTGACGACTGGATGGAGGACGATCGACTACCATCGGAAGTGCTGGATGAACGGCCAGACCCTTTGGCTGTACTGAGTGAACCATCCGACCATTCGACGGTACTAGTGGAACCTTCCGACCCTTCCGGAGTGCTGGGCGAACCTTCCAACCCTTCGCTGGTGCTAAATGAGACACCTGGTCATTCGGCACTGCTGGTTGACCCGCCACAACAGTCAACAGTGCTGAGTCAACCACCAGACCAGTCTGTCGAACTGACTCGCCCACTGTCAGACGGAGCAGCCTCTTCACCGCCGTCAGCCGAGGCCGATGATTCACAACCGTCGATCATGGTGATCAATGCTCCCTCGCCGGACGTCCGTCCGGACCCAGACCCGTCCGACCCGCTTAACGAATCGCCCTCGGTGGCGGCCGAAGAGGCCCGCCGCCTGCTGGAGGGCTTCACCGACGAGGTGGTGAAGACGATCTCCGAGGGTAGCGACTGGCGCCTGTGGGCGCGCGCCGTGCAGACCTTCACCACCCGCTGGGACACGTTCGCCATGACCGGCCGGCTGGCGCTGCTGCGCGGCGCACGGTCGGCCGTTCGGATCCGCAATCAGGTGCGCTCCATCTGTGACGTGTTCACCGTGCCGGCCACGCCGCTCGAGGAAGCGCCGATGGACGGTGATGTGGCGATGGAAGAGGCGACGGACAGCGGTGACACTACGGAGGTGCCGGTGCCGGTCGGAGCGCGTGGTCAGGTGGTCTGTGTACTCAGGTCAGGCCCGTCACAGACGGATGATCCGTCTGAAGTGACCTCTTAAGTCGTTTGTGGGGCGTATGGTTTGAATTAAGTTTTCGTGGGTCAGTGGCTGAGAGCTGCCTTCTTTGTAGACTCCTGTATGAAGCCCCACCCATATCTCAAGACCTCATGGTGTTTCAATATTGTTTTTCTTCACTCGTGATAAAATGGGTTCTCAATCATGACTTCGAGCATACATTGCAGCATTTTCCTAACAAATGGCCGTATGTATGCTTCCTCGTTAGAACAGAGCGCTTGAGACTGAATCAACTCCGAATGTATTATCACTGCATATTCACTAGGCCGGTGGCCCAGAAGGCAAAGCGATGCCACTTGCCGTGAGGCTGAGCTCACAATGCAAACGTGCCGGCACCTATCACACTGGCCAGGGCAGAAGAAGTAACACCGCCAGACCCCCCCCCCCCCCTACCGGGGAGGTAGCCCGTCAAACATTTCGGTGAACCGCCTCACGCAATACAATCCAACGCTATGAATCTCCGTTCCCGATTCCATGTTGAACACGTGCAGAGTATGAAAAAGGCGCTACGAAAATACGAACACCGCATGAAAGCCACAACCGAACATGCAGTCTCACACTTTGGTTACTTCAAGGTGCGTGGTATGTCTTACGACACAAACATGAAACAAAACAGCTTGAACGTCAGACGTTCTAAAACGAGGTGGGCCATCCTCGCCCACCCTGATTGTCGAACGAACACAAGGCTATAGAGAACACAACTTAATCAGGTATCAAAGGAGCCCAGGTTTTCATAAAGCTAACATAGCTGGCCATTCCCCTGATCAGCGATCGGTCATATTCTCCATCAAGCATCATAACAATTGATTGCGATACCGCATTATCACACCTGCCAAAGTTACCGGCCACAGACGAAAGTATGGGATTGAACACGTGTCACTAGCATTCTCCGGCAACACTTTTGATAAGGGCCGGGTTTCGAGCAGTAAGAGAGTCGAGTCTACCCCGTCGGCAGTAGCGATGGGTAGCAACACAGCTGCGTCGGGTTCACCGCGATACCGGCGGTGACAACCGACAAACGGACAAATCCTGAGCGAACTCTCAGCAATGTGACTGAACACTGCGCCACAGTGCTTAACTATCCCTCAGAAACCTGAGTATCTAGCTACCGATTGGCTTACGAAAGCGGAATTAGCACACAATATGCATAGGGCAACAGTTGTGACTATGAAATCGCTATTTGAAGCGCAAACGTAACAAATGTGCAAATCACGGACGCTGCACATGAACAGTGCTGATTAATGATAATTTCATGCGATAATAACGCGACTAGAATCACAGACCAGTGAAGATGAGTAAGCATAGACTAAGCTACCTACCTAGAACTCCTACCTGATGTCAAACAAGTTAAATATACTGACCTGCGATGGACAGCTAATTTCAACAATCACCCGGAATAACTGAAACCATAACAATTAACAAGCTAAGTGCCGTGCAACAAAACGAACGATAAAATAAAACGTTCGATAATAGTATGAAGGGCGTAAGTAAGGTATGATCTCGCATTCATCCTTGCATATCCAACGACGCCTAACGTTGACAAGGATAACAGGCAACAGCCTCTACATCTACACTCGAGCATTTCCCACCACAGCTGTTCAACGAGCAAAGCGGGTCGAGATCCGGCGCATGAGCTATACCGTCTGGTTATGTCATCACGGCCGACAGAAACTGGCCGTCGTTTTCCGCTCCGGCCGGTTCCGGCGGGGCGCTGAATGCCATCACGCCTCGCCTTTCACAACCGGTGCGGGTTTAAGCTCTTCTCTCCGCCAGGGGGTGGTGGTGTGTCTATGCGAGTGACGGGATGAAAAAAATGGAGACGTTCTCTCTAAGCATTCCGCAGCAGCGGCTGGCCGCTCTCCGAATCACCTTCCTTCTGGGCGGCGCCGGCGGCGGGCGGAGGGTTTCTCACCGGCTGCTGAGCGTACACGCAGATAGCTGCCGACACGATGGCGATCGCCACTGCCGTGTTGGCGTACACGGGAATACCGAATATCATCCAACACAGCACCGCCGTGAACATGAGCTCCAGCGCGCTGGCGAACGTCTTCAGGATCGAGTCGAGCGAGTGCAGGAAGTAGCAGGTGACGATGCCCACCGTGGCGTTATTGAAGACAATCATTAGCACCGCCGGGCGGGCCACGGAGCGCAGTGCCGAGGCTGTCAGCGCTGCAGACAGCTCGCCGCGAACAGCCAGGGTGAGCACGGCGAACACAATGGAGTCAGCGTACATGAAGGCGTTCTGGAGCATCACGTCGACGCCGGCGGCGCCCTGCTTCAGTAGGTACTCGTTGTACACGCCGGCCGTGCACGAACAGAACACCTGGAGGCACGGGAACACGTGCAAGCAAGCTGTCAGTATCGGGGAGATAACAGTTGACGTCGGGACCCACGAACAGCTCTGCCACGACGTCGAGGCCTGAATAAGCCCGCTTTATGCTCTAAAATGACATACTTAAGCGTCATTTTGCAACATTTAAGCATTACATACAGTGAAAAGATCGGCTATCAGTTATCACCAATCACGGCTAACAAATGTTGGCGAAAGAAGTTCAAACAATGAAAAAGTATCGTCAAAAGAGACAACACACTGACGCCCCGGGCAACAAATAAACTTCATTATGGCGGCCTCCGTCATATACGGCTCACCTGCACCAGGATCAGCAGCAGGTTGATGCTGAAGATGCCGTCGTGCCACGTCTTGCCGGCCTGAGCAGACGCCGGTCCGCCGAAATTGAGCTGCTTGATGACGCAGCCCAGGGTCAGCAACAGCAGCGAAAACCACTGCCGGCCCGACAGCCGCCGTTTGAACAGCACCTGTCAACACATGCCAGAAGGCAAATCAGAAAACCAGCGGTTTTTATTGCAAGGGGAAAACAATACTTTCGTCCTACCACCGAAGCATCGGGCTCTCGCAAACGTGTTTATTGAAACTAGACATTTAAAATAAATGTCTAGATAGACATGGTCAGAATTTAGGAACGCGCATTGAACAGTCTAACGAACAAAATACCATATAAAGGCAACATCCATAGCCTACAAAAAGAGGAACCGAGTAACCTGAGACGAGGAAAACAGACAATACGGACACGAAACAACATCACTAGCCAGCCCCGGTGGGTAATTACGAAACAAAACCGGACAGAATCATGAACCACAGGACAATAATGGCTCTCTCGCCTCAACCTCACGACATGGCAACATGGCCACGTTATGGTCACTAAACCAGCCATGCTACGATCGTCTAATTTCTGGTCTTGCGTCGCCCATCGATCCGAATTCTGTATACCGTAAGGTAGGGCTATTTGAGACAGTCGGGTTATAATTTGAGACAGCATGTAGTGGTTTAGTAAAATCGGTATAAAATGAAGACCGTTAATTATTTTCTATTGCCATTTTTGCACAGGTTGGTGTGGAATCGAACGGTGAATTGTCTGAGCAAAAGATGTCAAACAAAATATCAAAAGGTTTTAATTTTTTAGGGCTTTTGCCACATACCGTCTCAAATAGTCCACCTTACGGCATATAAATCGTACCTGATAAAAGAATGATAATCGTAACAGCCACACCCCCATGAGGCTAAGGGGTTGTTGCCCGACTATCCGTCCTATCGTCAATATCCGCCGAATGGGATCGTCCATTCACCCCTCCCTACCCGCCCTCGGCCGTTGGGAGCGCGGTACCGTAACAGTGTGTTTGCACTGCGATAACAAACTGTGTCAACGGAACTCGGCATGGGGCGGCCTGAGAGGCCCCGCAGAGAGCTACACCCGTTCCCAACCCACCCATGGTGAGGCTATAGGTGCACGCCTTAACCTCAACAGGGAAAACCAGCTTCAAAAATGCATACACATTCGTTAGCGACAAGCACCTATACGGGCCAGAGTGTGTCCCATCGTGTGTGCGTGGCGCAATGTGGTTTAGTGATTTATCGCATTCACTGACGTCGATAAACAAAATGCAAGGTTTGCGTACCCCTAGTGTAGTTTCGGGACAATGGGTAATTCCTGGTCAAAAGCGGGATTATGGGTAACCTAACTTTCCCGGCCCGATTCCACTTGCCGGAAGTTACACCAACTATACCATTCTGCTTCCATTCCAATGTGCCACCCTACCGTCCCTAGCCCAAAGCCTCGCACACATTGATACAAATCAGCCCACCGACCTGAAACATGACGCCGGTGACGACGACGCGCAGCTGCAGCAGCAGGAAGTAGGTGGTCGGGTCGAACGCCTTGAGGTTGACGAACGTCAGCATGTTGTAGATGCAGTAGAGCACGGCCGGCACCAGGTACAGCAGGCATGCTGTCGGTGACGTAAGTGAAAAAACGTCACGATATCATGGCCGTACAAGAATATCAGTTTCATGGTCCTACAATATCGTCACGCTAGTGGCTATTTATGATCATTTGGCCACGTCGGGGACAGTGCGAAGTGAATCAAGTGACACGAGACATTTATGTTATTCAACACGGACAAATGAAAACAAACAAGCTTCTGAAGGTTGCTTGCTCTACATGGATTTGAGTGCGCACCATGACTAAAAATACACTTACCTCGGCGGTTAGCAATGATCCCTTCGACGAGTGCAGATAGCTGCCATTTTTGCCTGAAATAATAAACACCTTGGATGCATCTATTTTAACCATAAAGACCAGCTTAAAAAATGGCCCCATGGACATGGGACTCAAAATTATGCTGTTGTAGGAAAACGCATGACCAAATAATTACTATGATAATCTTAAATTAGCCAGTAAACACATACAGAATCTATAACCAAAACTAACGACAATGCCATTTTTACCCATGGAATTCTTGCGACACAATTCACTTGCGTAGGTACGCAAAAAAAAAAACAGGAAGTCATGTTCATTCCGATCATTAATGTAAGCTCCTATTTCAATGGGATGCCAGCTGCGCCGTAGAGCTCAATATGAAGTAGGGGTGTACCTATTATTGAACAATGGAAGTGACATTGTGTCAGTTGCATACTTCCAGCAACAACCTATTCTGTCATCAACTGCATCAGATAGAACAAAAACAAGCCTTATCCTAACCAAAGGTTAATAATACATCACAGAACTAAAGCAACAGCTGTTCTTCAATGGCATTTATACTACAAACATACACATGGATACCTACCTACTAGTTTTGTTTTGCCAAGTAAAAAATCAAACATGCTCAAAACTCACATACACTTATTTTGTTACACTTTCGGCCTGAACTAAATATCTGGTACCATACTCACTTGTGCAGATACAGTGCCAGGGACATGAATAGCTTGGTGAACTCGGTCAAAATTACAACAGTCACTGTGTTGTAGTCATAGCTGTTGTCCTTGTTCTTTGTAGCAGTCACCAGGATTCCTACAGAAACAAGATCAATGTAATAGACATAATGATATAAGGTAAAGTAAAGTACAAACCTTCACATTAAAGGGCAGTAGCAGCCAGCAGGCATCCCCTAAACAAAACCCTACCCATTGTTTAAAAACATCTTTACAGCTACCCTAGTAGCACACAACATTGATACAACATCGAGATATGTTGAAATCAGGTTGATTATCAATATTGGTGCTTCAACACGAATTCAACATTGATTCAACGTTGATATCACGTTGAAATTTGGTTGTGCTTTGTTGAATCTTGGTTGAAGTTCAACATTGTAGTTCAACATCGATACAACATTGTCCCAATGTTGAGTTCACAATATCGACAGATGTAGAATTTCAACATTGTGATTCAACATTGATACAACATTGTCATGATGTTGATTTCACAATATTGATAAAAGTAGAGTTCCAACATTGTGATTTAATTACTATATTGCCCCGCAGTTGTGTTGACACTTGACAATATTGAAGGGAGAATGCTCCCTCGGGTGTAAGGGGTCCCATGAGCTCGACAGGTCCTAAGGCGTCAATCGGACTAGTAAGGGTGGGATCACTGAGGTTCCAACTAGACGAATATGGTCTTATAGAAATAGTACCTATTGGTATCTTATATAAGCATATACGTCTTGAATATGACGTAGGTATAGAGAGTTATAAAGTGAATCGATCCTTAAATAAAGATAGCTCTACTTCATAAATCCTTTTATATCATCCTCAACCTACGTTGAATTAAGCAGCATTATTGTAATAGGCATTATTTTATTCGGGTGCCACCGGTGCCATTCAAGTATCACGGACCACGGTAGGTCCTACCAGTCGTGCGCTGAGCTCTTTCAGAGACCGTACCGACTGGAATCTAGCGACCGTTGGGCGCTGACCGTTTTGAAGACTGTACGCGGCCGGCAGCGGGCGGTCCCATCCTCGCCTCCGGCTAGAGAGGGGGAGACCGCGACAGGGGACCGCGCGTCCCCATCCCGTTGTGCCGGCTCGCAGAGTGCGGACGGGTGTGTTGAGTGTGTGGTGTCCAGTGTCGTCTTGCGTCTCCTCTTCCGACCATGTAGGTTTCCGCCAGTTTCTGCTGTGTGACAATCAGTGCATTTATCCTAGTTCTTACAGTGCAAAACTGGCGCTGAAACGTTCTCTTCAAAATGGTGGCGATCACCGTCGTCACTTACTTGCCTGCGGCAAAGGGAAAAAGTGCTGCCGGTGGCGTAATGTAGCGCCATGCCTTGAAACAGGGCCCGGTAAGTATAAAAGAATAGATGCAGGGTAGTGGGATGCATACATGCACTTACATAAGTAGGTATCTATTATCTGAGCTGAAAATGACTGAACTGAATTTACTCAAAGGCCCAATTTATTACCGTTGTTACATAGGAATCTCCGCTTTGTTACAGGAGTGCGAGGCTCGACGGGCGACTCAACCCCCACGGCCCTGACTCAACCGCTCAAGATGTGAAAATGGCGGAGACTGAGCGGCGGCCGAGGTTGTGTGACGTGACGTGATGTGTGAAGTGTAGCTGACTCGAAAAAAAGTGAAGAGCTGTGCATATATCATAGAAATACATTTTTCCCCGAATATTGACTGTGACGGTGACACTGGATTTGGAATATTTTAGATAATTACGGGATACCTACGTGATTTCGTACACGTATAGGTCTGTCGACAACATCGAGACAATGTTGTATCAATATGGAAACAATGTTGAATCAACCAAGAATCAACATCGAGACAATGTTGTATCAACACCGAGATAATGTTGAATCAACCAGAAATCAATATCGAGATAATGTTGAATCAACCAAAAATCAACATCGAGACAATGTTGTATCAACATCGAAACAATGTTGTACAATGTTGTCCTGTCAATATTGATACGATGTCGAAATTCAACATCGTATCAATGTTGAAAGTGGCTAACAGATTGACATCGATACAACATTGTTGTCAATATTGATACAACATCGATACAATGTTGATGTGCTACTAGGGTATGTGCAACCATGTAATCTGTCCATAAAAATAAATAATATGGTCCAGCTGACTAAATGGTAGGATTCAGCTCATTTAAACATTAGATAGGTACCCCACACTACCTACATGAATCATATAAATAAAATTGGCTTACCCTGATTTATGAAGAGAGCCATGTAGGCAATGAAGATGAACAGGCTCCATTTGGTGGGGAAGAGGTCTCTTAGTTTCTGTGCAAGGGACATGGCTCCTTCTCTGAAATGAAGTAATGAAGCTATTATTGAATAATTTTATGTAAGATTGCTACAGTGCCACACATACTATATTTTCATTTCTATGCTACAATCACAATCAATGTCCAAAGGAGCAAAAAGCATACTTTTCAAGAGTCTGGACTTTGTCAAAACATTTTTAGCTAGCATCAATGCGATAACCAACTACTATCTAATCAAACCCAACATAAAGCATTATGGAAGCATAATCAACCACCAAAACTTTGCTGTCAACTTATAAACTGTTTTAACCAATCATCAATAGCTGGAATTAATTTGCAGACTGTTGGTCAGTTGACTTAGTCAATGTTTATTACAGTCCATGGAATTGGTCTGCCTCTGCAAAAGGCACCATCTGCAAAAAAGTAGTTATAATTTGTCTTTAAAAATGGCTTGGAAACCTCAATAATTACAGCTGCTGCTGCAAATCATCAACAGCTTATCTCCTCCAGATGCACTTTTCCAGCTCTTTTATTTCAGATGCATTCCTTGTACATAGGTAGCCATGTAGTAAAAGCATATTTCCTACATGAATAAAAGTGAACTCACACTTGAAGCTGGAAAGCAGAAAGAAATATTGCTAAGCAGAAAATGAAGATTTGTTTACATACTGAGCATATCAAAATTAATTATCTTAAAAAAAGTCCCTGTAAATGCATCATGTACAAAAAATGGGGTGATGACTCTGTGGCTAATGAAAATCCACCTACTGAGCCATCTGGTCACATCCAGAATTAATCTACATTAAAGCTTTTTTCCTGATCCAAACAGAGGAGGACCCCAATCCATGGCAATGGAAGGTGTTAGGTATACGCACAAACCAAAGAACGTGACATTCTACCACTTTTTCAACATTTTAATTTAGGGTAATTTTTAATAATTAGCAGGTAATAATTAGTTGGTTTAGCAGGTAGGTACCTACCATCCCAAAATGCCCACTAAGCAATAAGCATGTTATCAAGCATAACACGACGATGACACCACACAACACAATGGTGAAAGTTGGAAAGTTGAAGTGAAAGCTGAAACTTATAGCCTCTTAGATCGAAATAGCTTTGCTCTCGGCCTCTCCTATAACAACATGACTAGGTAGCTCTTGGACTAGCATTTTTGATGAAAATGAAAACACACCTGGACCTCTTGCGATTAGGAAATTCACGCTTACATCGTCGCTCCTCACTCACGGCCCAGACGCCCCAAACCACAGAAAAATGCGATTGATGTGAAAGCTTCTGTTCAGAATTTGAGCTTACACTGAGATACCATAAGGCTGCCTTCAGGGCCTCGGGTAAATCAGAGCTTTCTTTGTTGTATTTTTGTGGAATTTTTCACTCGTGCGACATAAAACATGACATAAGAAGCTCATTTCAAGGTTTTGAATTTTACCAGGGCACGAGGAATGGCCAAAAGTTGTGCGATTTGGTCACGTTGCCATAGAAACTGGCAAAACAAAAAGATCCGACACCGATTCTAGCAGTATTGAACAGGAGATGAGAAACTATGAACGTATCAGCAGCGTCACGAAATGTCAGCCTGGTCAGAAAACAAACAAATAGGAAGCAACCACTAAATGATAGACTGTCAGAATACGGTGAATAACAATTGCGCTGTGTAAGTATGTACATACATACTGCGACCAGTAAACGACGTGAACGCACTATCCACAGTATGCAGCATAATAAACGTGGTGTGCTCAACTATTTTGCCGGGTGCCTCTCACCTGGCTGCTACATTGTAAGCCTGCAAGCATTGACGATTCTCAGTGGCTCGGTCCACGGAACAAATGACTGGATCGTCCAAAGGAATATGGCCAGCTCGAACGTACGGCAACACTTAGCCAATTGAGAGGCTGCCAGGGGATCATTTCTACACATGAACATACATCAGGGCCCTGTTTCACCGGTGATAGCAGGGATAGCAGCACGCTGCTTTTACACGTGTCAAATTGGGTTTCCATGGAAACATCAACAGGCCCATTGCTCCAACAATACCACAAGTGTGACGTCAGCTCGCGCAATTTGATAGCAGCGTGGTAGCAGCGTCCCGTGAAACACCGCCCAGGTGACGAACGGGTGGCGGATCAATAACGATAGCCGCTCACACATATATGCGAATGTGATAACCATCGTCGACCCATATCCGTGCTGTTATAAAAACACAGACTGTAAGAGACTCAGTGAGACGTACGGCCCTCCAGCAAAAGAGTGGTTGGTTAGCCTATGTGCTTTAATTTTGGTGTAATAACTTTGAATATCACAGAGACACTCAATAGAAATGATCAGAGGGTTCGTGCACACGCTTCGACAATGGTTTTCAACAGCCGCAAGACGTACCTACTCAGCAATGCAGATCGCTCATTGTGATGTTGGCAACCAACCGGCAACCACTAAATACCTGAAGGGCCGTACCTGCTCACCGCTCATGTTTCGCAATTCGCATATAATCTCCATGTACATACGGTGCCACGTCATACCATCGTTTGAATGCTTAGCCGATCTCTTCAGGACCGTTATACGGAATCGTGTCATTCAAGGTCTTGCCATTCTTGGAGTGAAGCCATACGGCAGCAACCGGGCCGCCCTGTTTCAAAGTACACTAACAGCGCCCCGAAAAGCAAAACCGGTTTCTATCAACATTCAACCTGGGATGCTTACCATGCAGGTTGAAAAACCGAAGGGGCTGGCCAAGATTTTCACAGATGGGGCTGGCAACCGCTCAGCGGTTAGCAGTGAGCCGTGATTGTGAACGATCATCACCATTGAGTTAAGCATGTTCTTCAATCTTCACCACTTAATTCAGTGAACTGGCAGGATCAAAATCTTGTCTCAACACAACGAAGCCGCATCCCTACAAACGACGGTACGCTGTCACACAATCACATATAGCGCAAACAACCAAAGATACCTATAATAAACAGAGAACCGACCTCCCTGGATCAGAGGTCATAAAGACATCGGATGACAAGGTGATAAAAGTGTCAGTCATGTATTTATCAACCGTCACTTGACTATCGTGCATTTCACACATAAATAACCGCACACCCACTCAATTCTTCGGCAGTATTGCTCAGTGCTTGTGCACCTACTTTTGTCGTCAGCATATTCAATTCGTGCAATATAGATACGCGTAAAGCAATCGTTTGATACTAGTCTCATGCTATCAAAACTAAACCAGCACAGTACAGCACAGCACTTCAAACATTGCTAATGACCAGTTAACTTTGATCGATATTCAATACTAAAGCACAAAACTCCACACCATGCAACGACCGCCCTTCTCTCATCAGTCCCAAAACAGTTGGCCCGTTCCGAGTTGGAGAGGGCGACGAAGTGATAGTTCGGGAGAGAAAAGACCGGCTGAGTCCGGCCCACTCGGCAAGGCACCCTAGAGACGGGGTCGCTGCAGCATCCATAGGCCCATACGCGGGGTTGGACCGCACCGGGGGCCGTATTCACGTCGACTTCGTAAGTCGATTTTCTTTCGTAAGTATAATTTGGTATTCACGTCGACACTTCTTAAGTTTTATCGACGGAGTTCACGTGAATAAAAAAATTACCTAAGAAGTAGGTCAAACTTAAGAAAATTCTTACGAAAATGATCGACGTGAATACGGCCCCGGGACAGGACATTCAACCTACAACGGTCGAGGTGCCTCCGACACTACGCTTACCGTGATCAACAAGATCGGTGAGTGATCGGGGAGACAGCTGACCGGCCTTACTGTAAGTGGCAGCTGTTGTAAGGTCTCAGACTGATGATGGCATCAGGAGTGAATGAACTGTCACGATCAGCAAATAAATTATCGATTATCTAGTCGAAATGAACAGAAAACGTGACTTCACCAGAACAGAGACTTAAAAAAGGCCGCACCTTGAATATGATCACTAAAATATATGTCGATTGCCGAGCTTTTACATAACGCATCTTGGCACCCAGATTACGGTGTGAATCCTGACATACATATTGAGAGTCACAACTGAACAACGACCGTCAAATACCCTAACCAGCGAGCAATATGTATAGGATGATGAAGTCAGAATATCACGCGCAAAACGAGGCATCTAAAAACCGACTAGACGTTGTGATCTAAGATGGCACCCTGTAAACCTGTGACTAGAGTGAGCATTCCACGTGAGCACAAAATCGTCCGGTGAGAGACGACAAGTCCCGATGACGCGTCCCCACGCCTACCAAACACACTGTAGACCCACGCGGCATATTCAGTCCCGCTTCTTGTTCCACTTCTTTTTGCGAGGCATCATGGCTTTCATGAGTTCTTCCTCGTCGATTTCCTTTACCTTGAGGTAGCGTGGAGCAAAGGCGATCCACACGATTGTCACCACTGCGGACCGAATAGAGGGAGCGTGCAATGTGTCAGGGCGCGGGCTTCGCGGAGAGTCTGCTCGAGAGGCTCGTCCAGCAGCAATTTGTTAGAAGATGGATAAATATCCTCATAAATGTTGTCCTTTCAGGAGAAAAGAGTGAAACATTTACGATAATTGCTTTCTTAAAGAAACATGTCAACGAATCAGACAGAAAAATGATTCTGATGAGTAGTGGCAACTGGCAACCACTTTTTACACAAGATAAGAACATATGGTGCTATCGTATTCATTCAAGTTGATAAGCAATTAATTGAAAACCAATGACACAACATATGTTTCTACTTTCTACCATCTTAGCCAAGGTACTTGCCTGAAATAATAATAGGAAAAAGGGTGGTGAATCCACAGTAAGCTGTCTTGTAATAAAAAGTCTCCAGTCCAAAATAGATGATAGTTATCATCAAAGTGCATATTGCTGCACTAATCAATCTGAAAGTGAGAAAACAGATATTTCAGGGATAAAATGTCAATAACACTCCCCTGAAAAGCAAGTGTGGAAAGGTGAAAAGGTAACCAATTGAATGTTTACCAAGTAAATGAAGCATTGCAATTCAAAACATGGGCACCACCCATTAGCATCTTTGTATGGCTAATAACACCATCACCATATATTATTACATTGCATACTTACGGATAGTATTCTATCCTGAAGGCACTGTGAATAAGAATGACAGCCTGCAGGACATGGAAGGTCCCAAATATTCTTCCTAGGCCAGGAGTCACTGCAACATGAAAAATGTCAAACATTTGTTAACTTACCATCCATATACAAGAAATAAAGGTACAAATATCTGAATGTTTATTACACAGCAGGCACATTGTAAATACATAAGTTCAAACAGATTCAGTTATCATTCAAATCATGCCAGCTTCCAGACCTACACAAAACATGCATAATACAGTTGGATATATCAATCGTGTAGCTCTGAATTACATATACATCAACAGCTTTTGTCACTGGCCAAATATATTCACACGTTTTGTCAGGGAAAAGTAGAAACAGCAATAAAAGCTTTTCTTCTTTGTTACCAGCTAGAAAAAAAAACACTCCCAAAAATCAATGTTGTCCATTTTAGAGTGACCATCCCACTTTAACATAAGTTTTGAGTTGAGATAGCCAAAATGGGGTCCCTGGCTTGCACTTACTGGTTACCTACTCAAAACATCAAGAAATGTCTCAAATCGAAAATATCTTATTTCAAAGTTGCAGCACATTGGATTCAGAGGGGCTAATGCATTTCAATGCCCCCTCTGAATGTGTGATGTTAGCGCAATCTAAAGATTTTCAATCTTTTACTAAAATGTTTGGTACCAGGTGAGTGAACCAGGTGAGTGAACCAGGTAAGTAGCACGTGGTTCTTTGCTGCGCTGCACGCAAAAAGTGCCACACTTTCAGCTGTCAAATTATTGCTTCCAAATAAAGTTGCTAGGAACAGCAGAGATCTCAAAAAGTAAAAAAGGAAAAATCAAATATCTTGAGAAACGGTGCATATTTTTCGGTGAATTTGGAAGACATTCGTTTTCTCTCTTTCTGAACCGAGTAACATCACTTTCATGCCAATCCATTAACTTTTTTGAAGGTGGGAACCAAGGATCCCTTAAAATAGGTACTTTACTTACCGGGCATGTGTTTTTGGCTTCCAGCAAAAAGTTGATTGCCTAAATAGTTTTCTGTATCCAAATAGCATCTAATGGCAGTTGCCATGCTAATAAATGCCACAAAAGCTATCCAGCCTCTGAGAGCATAGATCATAGAATGAACCATTTTCACGCTATTGCATGATTACAAATGAAATTCTAAAATAAACTCTCTGTTACTGCCGTACCTAACAAAACATCGCGTATCCCACGTCAACATTATAACTGTGTTTGAAGAAAACGTATATGCTAGTCAAGTATTGCTGATGGTGAATAAAAGCCAATCACAGTGATCTGAGACTCAAAATAGTCCAATCACCTGTCTTGAACATTTTTCTACGCACCTTTGACAACAGCTTTTATACGAAACATTCGCGCCAATGATGCCGCATTTGCTTGCTTCCATATCAGTGATGTGGAAGCAATCTTAATAAAGTTTTGTGAGTAAAGTAAATTTTGTGTGGTTTTCGACTTTCGAGTAGTTATTTACACTGTGGTTTTCAAGACGTCAAAATTTCATCTACAAAAAGCAATGATTCGATAACGCGACTGCAGACATCTCGCGTGGTATTCGAACGTGGGCGAAAATAAGTGTGGGCCACCCAACACACCCAACTGTCATCTTGGAAATGCGGAACGGGACTACCTTTTATATCATGGGGACTACAGTAGGAAATCCTGTATCACCGCCCGCCCGACAGCTGCATTTGGTCTTCATTGGGATTAAAGATCACAGACCGCAATCAGAGATCAGATACCAGGGCTGAATGACTTCCATTTCGGACGACTCCGACCTCTAAAAATCTGTTACATCCGACTGCCGAAGCGCCAGTCGATATTTCTTTTCTCTAACGCAATTCACTCTTTTAGCTCCACTGATAATACAAAGGACAAATAAATTGAGGTAAGGATATGAATCCAGTGTATGCATTGGTCGCATAATTCATCACAATCAGCAGTACAAAAGACTGTGTATTTCAGTAAGGGAATTGCAATGTAACAGACCAAGGGAGCGACAATACAACAGGCCCTACCGCACCTACCAGCGTCAGCGCATTACACAGAGGTGTTAGAAAAGCGTGCGCACCGCGCCGGCCTGAGCGCACCTGTCAGTCTTCGTTTATGTATCCTGCACCCCAGACGCACCCCACACGGGACGGTACCGACGCGTAAATCTGCACTCTTCCGGCCCGTCTCGAAAGACAGCCGACTGTCTTGACTGTCTCAGTGACATATGTCTGACCACCCCCGCTACGGCCACAATCAGAGCCCCAGCGCCGCCACAGCCGAGACGAGGCGCGGGGCGAGCCACAGGGCAGTGCACAGCTGCCAGCAAGCGGTCGGTCCGATTACAAGACGCTGAGGACGACCCAGAGGCCACGTCCGTCCCGCACTGCGCACCGCGGCGGGACGGGCCAGCTCGGCAGCGGCGGCTACCACGGCGGTATCACAGTCATAAGCCTCTGGTATCACTACCGAGCTCGGAATGCAGCGCTCTATAATCGGCCAACGGAAAATGGACAGCGGTGAAGAAACTGGAAGAGGGAGAGTAGAGATAGGAGTAATCACCGTTGTAGTGACGTGAGACGTGACCGCGGGGGAGTCTGCAGGACAGACCGCCTACTCATTAGTGAGACGATAACAACCAAACATACACATTATACGTAACCCAACAATCCGGCGCCGGCGACCGGCCGGCCGGCCACCATTGGTAGTGAGTTTCTCGCTGGCGGCGCGAGGCCCGCGCTGCCCATGAACACCTGCATTCAGCACACATCGACTCAGTCCGCCTTCCGCGTGCGTCGCTTCCGGGCCTCGGGGCTGCTCTTCTCCTTGGGAGCCGACTCCTCCTCCTCTTCCTCCTCTTCTTCTGCTTCCTCCTTCTCTTCATCGTCATCTTTGCCGTCTCCCGACTGCTTCTTTGCGGCCTGTGAACGGATTCGGTCCGTAAATAGACCACTCACGCGTGAAGAACTGAAATGACGATTAACTTACAGTAGCTGGAATGCAGCAAAGTTAACCACATTTTTTTCCGATGATCATTTAAAGTTTAGGTCAATTACAGTTTAGCGTTTATCACACACCTTTCAACAGCAAAGTAACAGAACAGAATATTATTTGCTGACAGTTATCCTGGTTACGGCAAAAAAAAAAAAAAAAAAAACGGAACAGGATAATTGCGTCAACGAGGAAACCATTCCGCGCGTTTTGCCACTACCGAGTACCAGGCGTATCAAAGTGAAGGCCACAAGGGGCAATCCATTATCAAGACGTGTCTGCTAATATTTAAACGTTTCATCCACACGGGCCGACAGAAGTGTGTACAGGGTGTCCCAAAAAAATGTACCTCATTTGAAATGAAGATATCTCAGTGTCTGAGCATACAATGATCCTAAATTTGGTGCCATATGAAAGCTCATTCCATAGCATTTTGTTTGATATAAACTATTTTACTGTACGTTACGTGACAGCCGAGTGATAACGGAAGAGCAAAACCCTTGCAATTTCGCTCTTCAACTATTTCCACGGGTGTTCCTGGGAAAAAACTTTCAATTGTTTTGCCGATATTTTCAGCAACTCAGAAGAAAACAATTAGAAATATTGAAACTAGGTTTCATTCATGCATTGCTAACATAACAAGCACACATCGCATCACATCCCAGTTAAAGGTGCAGCCGTGCTAACGCTCGAAGTGCCCTCCCTTTCGCTCGACACACATGGCGGAGCGTCTTTAGGACTGTTGGGCTACGCGGGCACACGTTTCAAGCGGGATTTTCCGGATGCATGTCTAGGTCGAGTTCTTCAGCTAGTCCAGAGCTTGAGGATTCTTTGCGTATACCACACTCTTGAGGAACCCCCACAGATAAAAGTCAAGGGGCGATAGGTCTGGGGAGTGTGGCGGCCAGCTATACGTTGGCACGCTGGGATATGATCCGATCACCCATGCGTTCGTTGAGCCAGACCATCGTTGATCTCGGAAGTATGTGGAGGAGCCCCGTCCTGCTGTAGCCATTGGAGGCTGATGGTGTCAGGTGTTCACACACTTTTTGCACACTTGTGGGGTGGGAGGAGCTTTTTTGTTTGTTTTGAAGTGGGCCTTTTATTTCCGCTGTGTTTGCACCACAGAGCCGGTTTGGGGGTAGGATTTTGCAACTTGAATCCTTTCCTCCTTGCTCAGTTGCCCCTTTGTGCAAAATGAAAGATGTGGAGCATTAATTGCCATGAAATTAGCTTTAATAAAATATATTATAGCTATCATCACGTGCGTATTTTCTGAGATGTCTTCAGTTGACATGAGACACAATTTAGAAACACTTGTGGCAGTAATTCAAGTGCGAAATTGCAAGGGTTTTGCTCTTTCGTTATCACTCGGCTGTCAAGTAACGTACAGTAAAATAGCTTATATCAAACAAAATGCTATGGAATGAGCTTTCATATGGTACCAAATTTAGAAGCATTGTATGCTCAGACACTGAGATATTTTAATTTCAAATGAGGTACATTTTTGGGGGACACCCTGTATAATGTGTGGGTGGGTGCGGGGGGAGGAGGGGTGAGTGGCTTATGCCACTCCCAGACGGTTTTTCACTAAGATCACGTGAGGTAATCGAGTCAATAAATCGCGACCGAAACGATTTTTAGTAAGTGAGTCGGGAAAGGCCTCGATAAACCCAGAACGAGTGGCCGAATAGAATGGTATGTAGCACGACCTCTCATGACCAGCTTCCTGATATGACTGGGCTTGACCCAAGCTTGACCTAGGTCAAAATCCGAACTGACCTTTCACAGACAAAAAAGTTGACCATTCGACGACCTATGTTAGGCAAAGCGATGGTATCAGGCCATTGCCCTGCGACCATTTTGCCTGGTTGTTGACTGGATCCGAAAAAATCACCGGTTGACTTAAAATTTAAAAAATGGGTACTAATCGCTGCGTTTCGTAACGGCCCGCTCGCTTATTTTTCCGTGAGGCTCTAGTTTCATCGAGGACAAAACAACAAGGAGGTCGTACTAGCCTCCCTCGGGCATGACATATGTAGTTATGTTGAAAACCGATAGGTCCCGCAATGGTTGAGAAAGTGACCGCTTAAGATAATCTATTTGAATAAATAACTTCAAAACAGAAAAAAACTGATGGGTATTGAAAGCAGGAAATACCGTACTTACGAAACGTATGTCAAATAATGAATATAGTCCAAACAGCTAAACCTCATTTATCCCCTACTCACTACACATTACGTTACGATACGCTATATGCCCAGCTTTGAGACGCTCGGACCCCGTCATCTGACTCACGTCATCGTCCTTTTTGGTGATCTCCGGAGGCAGCTCGCCCGACTTTTGCGCGCAGCACACGTCGATGCAGCAGACGAACAGGAGTCCGAGAAGGGCGCCGATGATGACGGTGGCCAGGATGAAGAGCAGGTAGCTGCCCCAGACGGGCACGCCGTACTCCTCCGTTAGAGAGGTGTGCACGTTCTGCCGGGATGGACGCAGGGGAGGGGTTACGAATGTGGACGACGATGATGATGTAATGATATGGGGTTGAGCTGATCAGTCTAAGGACCTAGAAGCAACCGGCACCCGTAAACGATATCAGAGAGTTGTCGCGATAGTTAGCCCCGGACACGTAACAATTTTTTAGTTGATAGTTCAGCAGTAAAAGTGTCCACTTTATGGAAAATGGTACAACTTGCTCTCCAGCTTCATCTGGCTTGTAAATTACTATGGACTGCAGCTGGCTTGTAAACAATGAACTGTATTTGACTTCTATAATGCAGAGTTGGTACCAATGCAGCTTGAACCAAGCTGCCACAACTCAGCAACTCTGGTGCAAGTCACTCCCAACTGAGCTATGGTAGTCAGCAATGTAACTTACTGCCAAATTAAACTGCAGAATGGCACGGAAATCACAGGACTCACCCGTAGCACCATGGAGAGCCGGAAGAACTGGGCCAGGACGGACATCTGCACAGAGTCGGGTGCCTTCCAGCTGGACACGGTCTCCAGCTGCTGCCACTTCTTCTCCTCCACAAAGCTGATGAACTGCTCGCGGTCACGAGAACCCTTGTACTGACGGAAAATGCCATCCTTCACACTGAAAGTGGTAAGACAATGTAAATGAAGGGAAACCAAACATGTCATTGGAATGTTGTAAGAAGTAAGAATCTCAAATACACA